CTTGGCTACTTTCATATTGGTTAAAGTCATCGCGAAATATTATGACAAATAATTTCGAATAGGTCAAAAATTATTGATGGATTTCTCTCAACCTCCTCCATAGTGATTAACTATTAGGGTGATTTGCATGCATACCACAGAACTATAATTTTTAGTTTAATTGGTGTGTTCTTTAGTTTGATGGGCTTAAGTAACATTAGCTTCTCTTAAATCCAAACTAAATAGGCCCACCATCTATTTGTAAAAACTGCTTAAGTTTAGTTAATTATTTGTTTTATCCCAACCCTTTTTTGTTTGGATTCTTAAAGATACTCTAACTTTGCTGTACTTGATTTATTTTTTAGAAGAAATTACTGCACGTTAGTTATAATTTTTGATTCATCGATTCAAGTTATTGAATCCAACATTAGGTTTCTACAAAATTAGTTTATCTCATACATGTATGATGTATGATTGTTGTTTCCTTTCCTATGGGTCTCTTATTGAACTTTTAGCGTTCTTAAATCATCAAACTTTTATCTATATTTTCCACCAGCCACATATCTCACTGTTTTCCCCCGTGTACCTGATGAATACTTTCATACTGATTTTTGAGGTTCCACAAAATTAATTTTACAGATATATGAAACAGTTGATTTAGGCTTCTTATTGATGGATTAGGATCAGCATGGCCAAATTCTACGAGAAAATTGAGTTTACAAGGTGCATGAATCTGTTAAGAAGCCGCTAGAATGATTTGTTGCCCTTTGGCTTCCTAAGTTTCAATCCCATGTACACTTTTACTTTGTTTTCCTTGTTTAATAACTTTTTCCAGGATATCATTGTTTGAAAGTTGTAGTGACCAGAAAAAGTAGAAATGCAAAAGGAAGACCTTTTGAATATAATAACAAAGTTAAGTGTTAAAATAAAATGTAGAGTTTGTGACTTCTAGGAAAAAGAATTCTGAATTTAGAGGCAGGTTGTTGAAAAAACTGATGTCAGAAGATAATGAGGTGCACATGCCTAAATGGAGTTAATTTATCTGCCAATTTGAGGCTTTCTAATAAAAATGATGTAATTTAATGCAACCTTTTCCATATGCCTCGAATACTTAAACTTGTTTCAGATCAGCTGGAAACTTTATTCCTCTCTTTCTAATACTGATTTGTTAATTGTTGGAATAGCCAAGGAGTGCTAGTTCTAGCTAGAAGTTTGTTAGTATTCTTCATTTCTATTCCTTCCACTCAATTAGACCAATGTTAGTATCGAAGATTTTTAGTCCCTAATTTTTTGTCCATGTTTCCATCTTGTAAATTTTTTCTCCTCGATTTAATGGTCAATCTGGTTGCAAATTGTTTGAGGAAATAATTCTTAGGTTTGGCTTGTTGGGTTAACAGTTGTAGAATGATGTAATTAACTTTGAGGTAGATATACCATAAAGTTCATCATTGTATTTTGTAGTCTATGATTTTGCAACTGAGCACTTGAATTTCTTCAATAAATTTGAGTTAGTCTAGCTGATTGTTACTTGGGCGATAGGAAAAATCTATGCACGTAAAATGCTGGTTCTTTGTTGTCATGTTTCCTGTTCTAAGGTTTGCATTTGATAGTTCTGACTAAATTTTTAATTAGTTTAGACATCATTCTAATGCTATTCCCATAGTGGTGCTGCTTTTTTTAATCGGATTGGAAAAATCCTGCTCCTATATTTATATTTTCAATTATTTGTCATTGCTTTTGGCTTGTTTCTTGTGCATGTTTTTATTTTTTGGTGATACAGAACCCTCACAAAAGAAGTCTTTGTGAAATATTATGCCTCATATTTGATGACAAAATATTCAATCCTGCGACATATATAGATAGATGCCTTCTGGATTTTTAGTATCTCCATGTTTTCAGACAAATTTCAAATGGTTTTACAATGTAAACATTTTTCTATTGTAAATTTGCATATCAATTTTGTACGTTAAGTTGTAAGTGTTCACTATATTACATAACCTCTACTAAATCTACTAAGAAGCTCCACTTGATTGCCGTCTGTAGAGCTGCAGTTGATGTGAAGACTTGAATTCTGCATAATTATAACTCATGTAAAGTTTTCAATCCATGATATTGCCATTAATGCTCTGCTAGTCTTTATTTTTCCATATAGATCAAGTTAACGTTTTATTTTATTGGCTTTAGCTTTATGAGCAAACTTGTAGGAACAGCTCCATGACTTGCGTGGTTGCTTATTTATAATATTCAGTAGAAATCCGTTGATCCAAGATCAATCCACAAACTCTGGTTGTTTTTTTCAAGTCTAAAAGAATACGCTGTTTTGTGGATCAAGTCTCTAATAAGGAATTATTCCATTTTTTTGAATAGAAATCAGTTAGATAGGCATCCAAAAAATGATCCCAAGCACACCATGAATCAACGCCAGCTCTGGTTGTTTTTTTCCATTGCGTTGCTTTTTTTGTTATATGAATTGTATGGTGTTAGATAAAAGATGATTGATACTGAAGAGTGATCATGATCAGGTTTGATGAATGAACAGTATAAACTAACCTGCCTGAGCGATCAATCACAAAGAAAATGAACAAAAAATTTTCCGGCCAAACTTGATCCCTTATTTAATACCCTTTTCTTCATGTTACTGGCTGAATTGCATTTCTCTTCTATAACTTAAATTACTTATGCTTGGCATCACTGACTTTTTATTAGCGTTGTTTTTGTAAAAAGATTGATATCATGCAAATTTTAATGACCGACTTCTATTCTAATGTAGAAATCAATTATTGATATTGCTTCATGTCATGTGCTATTTATCTAGTCTGCACAAACCCATTCTCTGATAGTGTAGAGACTAAAAACACTTTTGAAGTATATGATGGAGCTTAGTTTGTAATTTTCGGAATCCAGGAAAAACAGCCCAAAAACAGTGGAAAAATGCGAAATTTCTTGGATGAAAACACTCACAAACACTTCAATAACTTGAATATAATTAGGGAATGAAAACTCAATGTTTTAATTTTTTTGTTGATTGTAATGTATGAGTAAAATTGTTCTGTATGATCTGTTCAAACAGAAATTAATTAAAATATTTAATTAAGATTAATTAAAATTATTACATAATTAATTGTATTGTATGATCTACCTGTACATGACAATCAACTATTTTGAGAAATCCCACTGTCAAATCTTGGTTACTTAAAATAGACAAATTTAAAATTTGAATTGATTGTACTGTACGAACATCGATTAAAATTGCATAATTTAATTTCAAGGATTAAGGAATCAAATCGAATCAAATTAATCATTTAAGATCGTACTGCATGATCATGTATTGGACTGTATGATTCACCCAAGAGCTCACTGAACGAACCTTGGTTTGTCTTGGATGATCTGTAATTCGATTGCTGTAATTCGATTGAGCTAATCATATCGTTCTACTGTTCATTTGTACAACATGACCAGTGAAGGAATTAAACTGATCGTGTTGTGTCACTATTCATCGTACAATACTAACAGTGGCAGAATTGAACTAATCGTGTTGTAAGAACTAGAAATTGTGCCGTATGATCATTATACTTAAAATTGAAATTTAGGACTTTTTTGAGTCTTTTTTTTATAAATTCTTGTTATGTCCTGTAGCAAGAGTCTTTTGGCAGTCAAAGTCGTCTTCTTTTTGAGGGAGAGTTTAGAGAAAGTCTACATTCACAATGAGAGAGAGGAGTTGAGGTTGAGAGAGTGAGAGTGTCTTGAGGGAGTCAAGGGGTGTGAGTGGGTTATACGATTGCTTTAGCTAGCTTTCTTCTTGAGTACTCTGGTTGTGTTTGGTGGAGTTCTTGGAGAAGAGCTCTAGAAAGGAGAGTCTTTGGTGCTAAATACTAGCTAGCTGAGAAGGCTAGGGATTCAACACCTCTGCCGGACTGGGAGACAAAAGGAGGGATCGATATCTGCGCTGGGGTTGGAAGCGAAAGGAGGGGTCAGCATCTCCGCCTGGTCAGGAGGGGAAAGGAGGTACAACCTTTGCTGGGCTGTGAAGTTGAGATGAGGGAGATTCTTTGGGTGTGAAGAGTGTAAAGGTAAGGGAGAAGGGCTTCTCCGCCTTTTTTTTTTTAAAGGTCGCACAGCTATGCACTCTTTTAAGGGCTTCTCCGCCTATATTTGTGTTGAAGGAGAGTCATTGTTTAGTTCAATATCCATAGAGGAGGATCTTTGGGGAAGTTGATGTAGGTCAATTTGATTGAGCCACTGTAAACCTTAGTTTGCATTTTCTTATTTTTTCTGCGATTACATTATTTGCAATTTACTTTATTGCACTCTAATTATATTTATGGAAAAGGATTTTGGTGATTAGTTTTGGTTGATTTTTGGTTTGAAAATCAGAACAAAAAAAAAAGGGGTTATTTGTTTTCTACAATTTTAAAAACAAAAAAAATTCATACTTGCTTTTCGTTTTGTTTTGAGTTATTTAATCTCTTTTGTTTAATTGCTTCCACATATTTTAAGATTTGTTTTTTAAGCAAAAAATTTTCAAATTTCCAAAGAATTTTTAAAAGAACTAATCCCCCCTCTTCTTGGTGTGCCTTTTGCACTGTAAATTGGTATTAGAGCACTTTCAATTTTGTCTTCTCTTCTTCTTCCTTAAAGTTCAAATGTTGTTGGTCCCATTAATGTCCCCTCCTAAGCAAGATCCCTTCGCAAATTCTTTATAGTTGAGGGCTTCCTCCATGTTTAGTTCACAGCCACTGGCGTCCTAGATGGCTTGCCTTAGCGGGATCTCATTGTGACTCATTCTCTTTGTCGTCGAGGTTTTAGCCTTTTCAAGAAGTCAAGAAAATTGAGGGTTTGGGGAAGACGAGAAACCATATTAATGAAGTGATTCAAGTAAATATATAGTTTTAGACATTAGATATGTAAATAATATAGTTTTAAGTATTTTGCTCCTCAATCCCCTTATATTCTTATCCAAAATACAATTAGTAACTGTTATGTACAAACCCATTCTCTGACATTAATTTTATTTGGTCTAGGGTTTCAGGTGGTACAGTCGACGGCTGAGAGTAGACGAAGATGGAGATGTGGCCGATGAATTCCTTGATGAGATTCAGCCACCTACAACCTCTGGTGATGAAATCCAAGCCTCAAAACCTAGATTTGAGGTTAAGTACACAACCAGGCCGGCGCCATTGAGGAAACATGCAATCTCCATTGCTGGCAATGTTCATCCTTGCATGGAACACCAGGGAATGTTGAGGTGGGTGTGAAAGAGAGAACTTCCCACCTTTGCTTTCACAAATGGTCTCTGTCAATATACAGACGATGATACACTCTGAAGACTAGAACTAAAAGACCCACAGAGCTTACGAATGGCAGAAAGGTGTCTGTAGCTGTGATTTCTGATCTAATTCCATGGGTGCAGTAGAGATGATGTTTTGAATGGTACAGATAAATATTGCCAGTAAACTCTTGTACACAACTTGTATTGGTAGAAAACAGGTTAAATACAAAATTTGAGACTGGAGATTGCAGGAAAGAAATGGCAGAAGTAGATGTTCTTTGTTGGCATGAAATAATTATTTGATTTAGTGATTTAGTTTGCTATCCTATGTTGGGATTTGTACTGCTCTTTTTTATAAAGTAAAATTTATATGAAAAAGCATTAGACCCAGCGCATGAAAATAAATTTCACTTATTTCTCAAGTTTGAGAGGATTGTCCTAGTCTGGAGAGACATTATTCTGTGCGGAGTCTGAATGAGAAGAATCGGCCGGATATATGAGTGTATATATTATGTACATATGGTGTGTATACATTATGTACATGTGTATAGAGTGTGGACACTCATGTTTTCGGACGGTTTTTCTCGTCCGAACTTTGAACAGAATAGTTTTTCCAGTTAGGAGTTACCGTTGACACGCTTTCCATCGGATATTTGCCGAAAAGTCAATATTTTAGGCTGGCATTTCTGGCGGCTTTTGTTCGCCGGAAATTCTTAGTTTTTGTTGTAGTGTAAGTGCCAAAATATGTCCACACATCTTTAAATTTGTAAAATCTTAGAAATTATACACACAACTTCATTAAAGCTATGATTTTTTTAGCCCTTCTAAAGAGATCAAAGTCATTAAACTGTGCAATAATTTTGTACATCAGAGTCCTAGCTTTATATTTAACTTGAGCACTATAACGCATTTCTGTATATATGATTTCAAGACATATAAGTTAAATTTCATAAAAAATTTGTTTATTTCATTGAAAATTTTGACTTTATATGTCCAATAATATCTAAATATAAAAAACATGCTCTCTATTTTATTTATTCAGACTAAAATCTCAGCAGAATTTGAATGGAAGCTCGAGTATTATATAAGAGAATTTTAGAGCAAGATGTTAATTTGAAGTTATTTACATTTTTGTGTTGAATATTATATGCAAGAATACAATATCTATTATTATTGAATTTTGTACTGTTTAATATTTGAATGTGAAATTAAAGATCAATAAAAATGTGGGTATTTTGATCACACATTTTTTTGGGAAATTTACATACATACCACTTTATACCATCCTGTTTATATATATAAAATTCAAAATTTTAATATTATATACATATCATCCTATATTATTTTAATATCATATACCACTCATATATTTTATTTCTACCACTCATAATTGATATGAAAATAAATTATGGGTGGTATGTATGTAATATTAAAATTTTAGATGTTAAATATATAAATAGAGAAGTATATGATGGCATGTATGTAAATCTCTTTTTGTTTTTCTTGAAAAATTTTAGCTTAGTATTCAAAACTCATACTTATAAAAATACACCTTATATTCCTTGATGAGAAGGGTTTGAATCTAGAGAATCTTCATGAGCTCATTTTATGGAGTCTCAATTAGGGGTGCAAACGAGTCGAATCGAGCTCGAGCCAGGGGGTGTTCGAGTCGAGCACGACTGCCAAATATCAAGCTCGAGCTCGAGTCGAGCTCAAATCGTCTCACGAAACGAGTCGAGTCAAGCGGCTGCCTCGTACGCGAATCCCTTTCCGAGCCGGCTTGACTCGGTTGCACCCCTAGTCCCCATCAACCCATTCATTAATCATAGATTTGAGTATTTTATAATGCTAGACATGTTATCTATTTTATAATACTAAAGAGTTCCTACCGAGTGTTAAAGCGGGCGGTAGACACAGAGATGGGTTGAAACTGAGAGGAATCAAGAAAATGGAGCCACAGTGGACGGAGAAGGATTTCCTGAGGTGCAGTGGGAGCACCAAGCTTGCCAGAGAGATGGCCGCGGCTGCTCCCTTCGCCGATCTCGATCACGCTGTCCAATATGCGAGAGATATTTGGTTCAATAAGGTCGTCCTTTCTTCTCCTGGTTAAATCGGTTTTTCTTCTTGCGAATGGTTTCCTACTCTCCCTTTTTCCCTCTCCAGGTCGATGTCAAGGGTTGGCTTGAAGCCTTCGCCGTCCATCCCGAAATCGGAGCCACTTCGAAGCCGATATCACAGTTGCGATCCCTTCTTCTGCATTCATTTGTTTGATTGTTGTTCTTTGTTTATTAAATGATTTTTTGATTGATTGGGTGAATGAGTTCGTGACGGATCAGGTGGAGTAAGGAGGAGCAGTCCGCTGCGATGGCGACTTCTGGTGGTTCCACCATGCAGGTACCCTTTTTTTTGTTGCCGGATTTTATACTTTTAATTATTACTCTATTAGGTTTTGATTAAGTACGTCTTGGAATGATAATTTTTTTGTTTTTGTTTTGCAGGAACTAATTGAGTGGAATGCTCGGTATAAGGAGAAATTTGGATTTGTATTTCTTATATGCGCTTCTGGAAGGGGCTCGCCGGAAATTCTATCTGAGTTGAAGGTGAGATAATGTGTATGATTTTTGAACCAGTTTTCTAGTTCGTTCTTCTGCAGCAAGTAGATTGAGTGCCTAGTTATAAATTAAGAAAATTTGATGGCTTAGTAAGCCAACTTTAGCTCAAAAGATTAAGTTGGAAATTTGAATGAATTCTTCCTCATTCATGCATATTCTTTGAAATCTTCCAAATTATGTTTTTCCCTTAATTACAATAATTCTTGGCTAACCTCCTAAATCAACCAGTAAGGTAACTTGTGCTATTTAACGCCACCCTTCTCAGCACAAACTCTTTAGGTTGCATGCCTATTACCTTTGCTACTATTACCTTTGTTATTTGAGTAAAGCATTCACCCCATATGGGTAGATGAAAATAACTATGAGTTCAGGATGATTTCTACAAAATGAAACTGAATTCTACACATGGATTTGCTTGAATCTTCCTCGAAATGCTGGATTTTAGGGTATCCTTGTTATTGAATTGTCGTCGCAATATACTTTGTGGGTTCATCTTCAGATGATTACACCTTTTAAGAAGTCTTTTAGGTCAAATGGGTTGATTTGTAGAACTGTTGTAGCTATATATTTTGCTTCACTAGTTGTAAAAGGTAAGAGATGTTTTGAACTCCAAAGTGAAAGCACTATTGCTAAGTGAGACCATATTTCTTAAAGTACCCATTCTTTCATTTGAGGAACCTAGACAAACTATTTTGCAAATCCAACAATTTCTATTTTATATAAAGAATTTGAAGGACTATTGTCTCATGGATATACTTAAGATTGCTTTTTCTAGATGATAGATAAATTGATATTCTTACCTCTATATCTTCTAATTATCTCAACAATATAGGCTATGGTGGGTCTTGTTGTGCGTCTGTGAAGAATTCCCAATAATTTTATTACAAAATTGGGATCCACATGATCTTGATCAACTTAAAATTTCCCGCCAAATGTATTAAAAAAAACAAACTTGTGTGGTTCTTTTTAGAGATGATTTTCCTTCGTCTTTCTATGCACCTTTATGCTGGAGGATTATATTGCTTCTTAAATCTACATTTCACAAGGCATGCTCTCTCTCTCTCTCTCTCTCTCTCTTTAAATTCTTTATTCATCAATTAATTTTAAATTATCCCCATAATTATTTGATTGTCAACATTTAAGGAAATAAATAAAACAGCTCCACACATATTCTTCCTAGAAAGAGCATATTTGTAAGAAGATGGAGTTACTATGACCATGTAGTTTGTTTTATTCCATAGAAAGATTTTTTGAGTTTGTAGACTTTGTTTCTATAGCCTTCGATTTTTAATTGAGCCATCTTTATATAAATTTCATTAATAGGAAGAAAAACTTGCAAATCTTTTCAGTTTATCTTTGACTTGTTTTGGGATGTAAGGAGACTTAGCACTTGAATATAGAACTGAGGCAAACAGGTCATGATATTCTCAGCCTTGAACTATGAGACTTGCTTCATAGTGTTCTACTAAACCCTCTTGATTTTGGGCCTTTATATTAATCACCTTCTTTTTTTTATTTTTCTTAATTTCCAACTGTATTGTCGTTTGCCTCCTAAAGTTCATGTGAATGTTAGAAATATAGTGATGACACTTTTTAATATCACACTGCATTTAATATTTGTCATACCTTGGTTTAGCTTTTGGGTCACCTCTATCTCTGCCTAGATTTCTTCTTCTTGTTGAGTTTATCCGCACAGACCTTTTTTCTTGTTCGGTAGCAGCAGATTGATCACCGTCACAATCATAGTGACAATGCGACAATTACTATATCCCGCTCTTTTTTTTTCTAACATTTCCGAGCTTACTTGATTGGTTTGTGTTGCTTGCTGATGGTTTCCTCTTAATTTGTTGTCTGTGGGCATGCAAGGAATTCTTGAGAACTTTTCAATAGTCGCATCCTCTAAAATTTTGAACTCTTCAAATACAGTTACTACATGATCATCCATATCTCGTCTACTAGTCATAATGCGTGTCAGTTATACTTTGATCAGAAATAATATCTTTATCTGAATATCCAATCACAAATTAAATCTAATTGGTTTTCAAAGATTTAAATTCACCATGTGAGGTTTGTTGTCCTTACTTTTTCACTTCTCTCTAAGATTTTTTTTAGTAGATGCTGTTCCTTTGATTTCTGGGCTTTGAAGATTTTTTTGTTGCATCCTTGTCCAATTTTTGGTAGATGACGCAAATGGCCTTGATGTACTTTCAATGGTTGGCTAATTTATCTTTCCATTCCTAAAGTAAATTCAATTTTCCATTAATTACATCGGAACAAAACACTTAATATGAAATTGTGAAGTAAAATATATTTACATTCCTTCAAAACCGAATAGACCCTTTAAATTCCATTTCTCCGTACAAAAAATAGTGAGGGGACAGAGAGTTGCTTTTTCCCAAAGTTTTAAGAATTTTCATGCAATTTATTAACTGTTTGTACCGTGTGGCAGAGACGTTTTGTCAACAGGCCCATTGTTGAGCTTGAGGCAGCAGCAGAGGAGGAGATGAAAATAATTGAGCTGCGCCTTAAAAAGCTTTTTGATTCTAAGTTGAGAACAAGCTCCTCACAAACAGCACAAGTATCTGCTGGTAAACATGAAGGTATTGCCCAGGTCGTTTAAGTGCATGGCTCTGTTTATATCTGATAATGGTTATATCAATTGCAATTTTTATGCATACCTATTTTTTCTGATAACAAGGAGGTATCCCAACTGAAATATGTTGTCTTCTTCCTTTTTTGCATTTATGAATTAGGTTCTACAGTATCTCAATACTATTACTACCTTCTTATGCATTCACTACACTCAGCTTGATTTTCTCAACTTATTCAACTACCGTGGCTCCCAGGTTTTTTGATCAAGTTTTCATGGACGGCTTGTGCTTTGTTTCATTTTTCTTCTTCATATAGTTTAGCAGCTAGCCTCAATATTTCACCAAGCCTGGAACTTTGACCTTTTAAATGGGAAGTCATTGTTGTTAATCAGACTTATTTTTATAGGTTTTTCTATATCATTATTTTATGTTCAGAGAAATACTTTAGAGCTTTTTAAATTTTATGAAAAATATTTTTGAAGTAAGACTGATATAATTCATTGGCCTTTGCCAAATGAATCTTGTCCTTATCGCCTGCAAAACAAAAAAAACATGGTTCTCAATTTTTTGATCAAGCTTTCATGGACAGCTGTGTTTGATTTTTCATTATTTTTGAAAAGAGGGTACAGTTTAGTGATTAACCTCCTGGTTAAATAAATATTTGAATTTTGAATCGAGTATAGGAAGCTTGTTGACCATCAGACTTTGAATAAATCTTCCCATTTTATTATTTTAAGTTCACGAGCAACGCTTTTGGTGCGTTTCGGATAAGTATTGCTTTGTAGCAGTATGGCTGATTTTGTTAGATTTTCTATGAGAAATGAAACTATCCATACTTACTTACCCAGATTGATTGTCTTACTGTCTACTCAATTTCAGTCAGGACAAGGAGCCAGGACATTTGTTTTATCACCGTATAGTATAGTTTAGAAAAAAATGAGCAACATTGAAGACCTACAGCTATTACGTTTCCTTCCTAAGGAAACTCCAACGGAAAAATTCATTTTCCACTCTAAAATATAGTAAAACATCGAAATGCCATAAGTCATCTCCAGTAGAACTGCATTTCTTTCTTCTTTCTGTGCTTCCTGTGAAAGTAACAATCTCTCTCCTCTTTTATGTGCTTTTCTCCTCTTTCACTCTCATCTTCGGCAAATTTTGCAAACCAATTTTTGGCATCGCACTGTTTACCTACCGAATTTTAGTGTGAGATTTGGAGTTCGAATGTAACAAATGTCGGACGGCATACAGTGATATGCAGTTCAGTTGTAGATGATCTTAGATGAAAAAACCTCCTCATATAGGTAGAATGTGAATGATGGTACTTGCTATGTGACTTTTTAGAATGCCATAGATTCTATATACTTTTCTTGTAGTATATTGATCTGGCAGTTGAAAAATGCAACTTCAAATACTTATAAGAATAATTTTGGCTTGCAACATCGTTTTTCAGCTTCAATAAACTTTTATTGCTTGAAATGGTCTGTGGGAGTGGTATAAACAGCTGGATAGAGGCTTATTGCGATGTACCGTTCTGCATTTCATTATTCCATGCAAGTTATTCTTGTGCTGTGGTGTAAATCAGTTTCTTCTTCTTGCTTTTATCATTGCTATCAAATTGTGGCCTCTTGAAAATTCTTTGGAGACTCTCTGAGGCCAACTCTTTCACTAGACCGTTTTTTTGGTCTATACGCCACATTTATTTCCATCCCTGAGACTTGGCTTCTATTTTCCCATTTTCTTTCTTTCTTTCTTAGTATGAATTTGACAAATTCAGCCAGCTTCATGGTGTCTTCATCTTTATTGCTTTCCTTTCCTGAATGCACGCTTCACCATGGTAAAGCTTCTTGCTTTCTTGTTACACGAGCTGTAACAAGAGCAAAAAAATAAAAATAAAAGAAGGGAAATTTACTACATACCACTTTATACCATCCTATTTACATTTCTAATACCCAAAATTTTAATATTACATATCACCCTATGTTATTTTAATATCAAATATGACACTCATATTTCCTTCCTACCACTCATCTATTTCATTTATAACACTCATATTTGATATGAAACTGAACTATGGATCGTATGTATGTAATATTAAAGTTTTAGCAATTAAATATGTAAATAGAATAGTATAGAGTGGTATATATGTAAATCTTTTAAAAATAAAATAAAATCATAAGCTCTACTGCTTTATCACAAATTTAATATTCCAATTGTTTTTCATTTATTAATCTCTAACTGTGGATTTGATTAGTTCAAAAAGATCGTATAGGCGTAATTGGAGGGCATCTTATGGCTGTTGCTAAGGTTCTTTCAGAAAAACCCACTGTAACTGCAGGTCGCACTCGCCCTCCCATCACCACACATGTTCTGGACACTGCTCGTGGCTCTCCAGCATCAGGCCTCGAAGTTCGATTGGAGATGTGGAAAGGAGCTCAGAGTTCTCCTTCAATTGCTGAAAGAGATTCAAGAAGCTGGGTATTACATGGCTCATCAATCACAAATTCCGAAGGTCGCACCAGTCCTCTAATGGCCATAACTGATGACGTCGAGCCTGGATTTTATAGAATGAGCTTCAATACTGGTATTTATAACCCATCTGGCTTCTTCCCTTACGTCAGTATTGTGTTTGAGATCAGGGAATCACAGAAATCTGAGCATTTTCATGTTCCATTGCTGCTTTCACCCTTTTCTTTTTCCACATATCGTGGTAGTTAAGAGGGGAAGAAGTCGTTTGTATAAGGGAAGTAACTATAAAAATAATTTGGAAACTGTGGGGTGTGGAAGTAGAGGATTTTGCTTGAGAGGCATGCTTGTAACAGCAATAATTACTATGTTTCAATTGCTTATGGTCCTGAAATCATGAAGATGAATTCAAGTAAAACTAACTTTAATGTGGGCATTGCTTTTGGTTGTGTAAAAATTTGTCACTTAAACCCTAAACTATATGCTTACACGTCCAATGAAAAGATACCGGAACTATCATCTTACATATGTGCATGCTTTGTTGACAGAAAGTTCACTTGCATATAGTTTTTGCAAAAGAGTTTCTGTTTAGATTTTTATATGATACATGGCTTTAGCAGTTTTTTTTTTTTTTTTTAAATTTAATGTAGGAGAGACTACTAATCACAAAATTTTGGCAGTATCTTTCAAGAAAAATTGTCAGTTAAATCACTTGACACACTCAATTTACACATTCTGCTTCAAGTCGTCACAGTAATCAAACAACAGAACCTGCTTACACATGCTTTTTCACATGTGCAGACATTTTTGATATGAAGTAATAGCAGCATTTTGATAAAAAAGAATTTTAATTCCCTGTAGGAAACGGATCTATGACTTCCTGTCATTATTGCAGTATACTGTCAATGGTTGCAGAAAAGCAGCAATTATTAGGCGCTTCATCTTGGGGTACTGCAACAAACCTTGTCTTTTTTGGATTAGTTATTCTGTGTGGATGCCGAACTTTATTTGAAGACAAACTAGAGTGCGTCATATCACCCCATTGTTATGTACCGCAGCTCAGTACTGCTCGTTACCGCTAACATGACACATCCTGATAGGTTTCCGGATGACGTTCTACGTCCAGCCTTTGCACAGAATAATTTCTCCCTTTCTTGAGATTACCTCCAATGGTCAAAGTTCAGGCTCCTTCAATCCATCCCAACAAGCCTTCTCTAGCCATAAGTAAAAATATATGATTTTAGCATTATTCAAACATAGGGTTTAGGAAAACACACAAAATAACATGCTAAAAATAATCTTAAGTGAAAGACAGGCCAAAGCCGCATCAATAGGAGGCCTGAGAGTCCAGATTTTAGGATATTTGGATAATTGTTGTATGAGTTTAGGAATATCTACAAGCAAATCGCACATTTATAAGAAAACTTAGTGAAGAAATGAGGAGGTATAAATGATTGTTAGCAAAAAAAAGATGTATATTTTTAAATAGTAACAATAGCTAAATATTATTGAAGTTTATAAAGTCATAAAAATTTAATGTCTTGCAAAGAGAACAAAATAAAATTTACTTTTTATAAGTAATGTTATAAGCATGAAAAGGTGCATAAAAGTGCGTGCAACCATGAACCACAATGTGAAGGCGTCGAAGAAATATCTTAGAGGACAATGGACAACAATAAGGCTGCACTAGAGAATAAGAGATGGAGTAGGCATGTGCATGGGAAGTTAGCTTCCACTGGAGGAACGAGTGTGCAAAGAGAGGGAAGTGGCTACCACCGGAAAGTGTCACAACTTAATCCCATCATGACAAGTCCTATCGTGTTGAGCTGTGACAGATAAATCCCAAGATCTAATTTTGAAGTTATTTAAGATTTTTTGCCAATATTTATTGAAATAAATCACAAATTACAGAGTTAATAAAACATCCAAATATTGAAAACAAACTTATCCAACAGGTTTCTTTTATTTTATCAAAATAAATGTCTACACTATAGTACATGGTTACATACAAAAGCTACATAGCTGAAATTTAACTAGTTATGATTGTACAAAAATCAAAATAGCAAAATACATGTAATTTAAGATCTGATCATGAACCGCTAGTCTACAATCTCATTCCCCTTCCCGAATCCTAAAAACCATAAGTAAAATTATAGTGAGCTAAAATAGCTCAGCAAGCCACACAAAACAATTTAAATTTGCAAATATTATTTTATCAAAAATTTTGCTAAATATTTAAAAATAATGCAATTTAAATAAATCACTATATTAAAAGATGTAATAAATGCATAACAGTTATTTTCTGATTTTAATAAAAATACTAAACAAATAAATAAATTGAATTTCATATCACATTTTTTGGACCCAAACAGAACCTCAAAGGATACTGGCTTCTTATGACTCTTTTTTTTGTGTGCTTATAGCACCATAACATATCACATATTTTTATCTCAGACAGAATCTCAAAGGATTATGACCCTTATAGTTCCCTGCAATTCCTAACACAGATAAAATCTCAGAGAATTTCAAACCCTTATAACTCCCAGCAGATATAATTTAAGCACATATGCATATATATCATCACATTATATCAATTAAAGACTAGTTGAGCATGTATCAGAATTACATAGTGTTGTATAACGGTAAAAAAGAGAAAATCCTACTAGGCAAGAATGTACATCTTCAAAAAATACCAAATTATTAGGAATTGTGTAAAATGATGTTTTAAGACTTTTATTGTACCACACTACTATTTTTCAACATCAAATAATTTTCTATTCAATAAAAAAAAAATTCAAAATCCCAATTGTAAATTTTTTAGAAAATATTCAAAATGTACATAATTTTAATATCTATAATATATAAAAAGTTACGCGGTGAAAATTTTACTAGTGCAAAGTTATTTGCATTTTTCACTAACGAAAATAAAATTTTAATAAAAAAATTCTCTAAAAAATTACGTATTTTTGAAAATTAAGATTGGCATAATATGATTTACCACGAGATGAACAAGCTTTCCAATTGGGCTGACAGATGAAAATGATGCGAAGTCGCCTAAAATCAAGTTTTAAATTTCTCTATCCTCTCTTTCTCTTAATTTCAAATTATTTTTAAATTAATTAATGAATTTAATTACATTAAGATTTTAATTAATTAAAATAAATTAATTATTTTTAAATGGCTTGGTTAATTAAATTTTAATGTTATTTCTGAATTAATCAATCAAATGAATTATACTCTTATTTTTTAATTAATTTACTATATGTATTTTTTATTTTGGATTTAAGCAATTTATTAAATGATTTAATATCAACTTATTTTAAAATTAATTATTAAAAATAAATTTAAACATCTCAAAATTCCTCTCCAATGGCTCCAAAAGGAATTTCATGCAGCCTTCCGAGAAATTTTGGTAGCCTCCTGATATCCCCTCGCTGCAGGGGGAGGTTGGAACGACCCGCGGATAAAAGATCGACAACTAATTGTCTTAGAATTAGAAATCATCCCGTTAACAACGAAATTCGACTGCGTGAACTCTTCAATTTCAAAATTTTTATGCCCAGATCAAAGATTAACAGTGCGGGATCTTCGAATTTTAAAACCATCCGTCAAGATCAAAGATTGAAAGTGCGGGTCTTCAAATTGACAAATAACCATCTATTTACTTTATTTGTTGTTAAAATGACGAACCATATGATCAATTGAAATTGTCATGCATATGCGACACAAAGGTAAGCAATTTACATTTCAGATTTATCTACTTGGAATATCCCGGCCCAGATCTATCTGGGTAGTTCACGCAGGCAAGTTCATGTGCGAGTGAAGGCAAAGCGTTCATGTGCGAGTGAAGGCACAGCTAATGTACAGGTTTTGGTAAAAGGTAATCACGAAGGCAAGCAGAAGTGCAGGTAGTCGGATTAAATGCGAAGGGGCGGAATCGGAGGGCTTCTTGAGTGCGAACAGGGACAGCGGACTAGAGCGTGGGCTTATCCGTTCTCGTGCGGGAGGTCGGATTCGGCACAGGAGTCGGAAACCTGGATGCTTGGTCGGATTCGGCTAGGCTTCACACGTAAGGAGGCGGAGGCGGAGGCGGAGGCGTGAGATCTAGGGTTGGCACGACGGAAGATTAGCCGGCCTAGTTGTTCGTGTGGGATTCGCATGATCGATTCCAAGGCAGAGGGTGTGGGTGTGGTGACGAACAGGAAGTAGCCGTGCGAGATTTAGTCGATCGGATCGAAGGCAGAGGATGTGGGATCAATTAGAGAAGGAAAGCGCGATTGAGATCGTAAGTTCCGTCTCTTGTATTTTTATTGATTGCTTTGTAAATGGATCTGTCTCTTCCGAAGCGTTTAAACTTAAACAGAAGGCTGTTTATAGTATGAGAAATCAACAAGAATTCACCAAAACAATGGGAATGGAGAACCTGATGGTTTCGTAAAATGCAGATTGATAAGGAATTGCAGTGACAGGTTGCAGTCCATTGTTCCTACTAGCAAAGCAGTGGACGGAATAGAATGGACAGGAAGGCAGGAATCAACAAGAGCACTAATTTGGTATAATTCTTGATGAATTAAGAAGGTTAAGACACCATTGGAGTAGTTGTGGACTCAAGTTCATAAAGAAGAAAATAAAAGAAGCAGAGTTTCATTTCCCAAAAATCCAATTACAACCATATGGAGGTCTACATAAGCTTTTTTATGAAGCATTAAAAAAGCCGTCCCAAACGGAAACTCAGTCTTTGCAGCTGTTTTCTGAACTTCTTTTATTTCTTCTTCTTCGAAGATGAACTATAATATTTGCATTATTGTTTTTAGCTTGGTCTTCTAAGTTCTTGATCCATTCTTCTCCTTGTTCTTTTACTATGGTTGAATCCAAGGGAATATATTGTTACTTAACAGTATCTAAGAAGTACAAAGTAAAGAAGTAATTCAATTAAGTGAGAAGTACAACCTTGTGCAAATGTTTAACTTGGTAGAACAAAAGCACAACCTTGTACAAGTATTTAGCATGTAAAGAGATGTAAATCTCTGAGCAATAAAAAACATTCAGAATTAGAGGAAAAGGCTAAATCAGGAACAAAGAGCAGATATTAAGCTTTAGCATACCACCGGATAGGATGTGGACAAATGGCGCAGGCATATAAGCAACTATGTTGGAACACAAAACATAGGACAAAAAATGAACAACAACGACAAAAACTCATGCAGCAATAAAATCAAGCAGCAACAACAACATGAAGCCTTTATCCCACTACGTAAGGTCAACTACATGAATCTTTTTTCTCTATTGTGTCATATTAAGATTCAAATTCTCATTTAAATCTAATAAATAAAGATCATTTTTAATATTTTCTAACCAAGTTTTTTTTAGGGATACCACTACCTTTCTTAACATAAGCCAAATCTAATGCATCTGCTTCCTAACCGGGTCATCAGAAGGCCGCCGTTTTATGTGACCAAACCATTTAAGGCGACTCTCTCAAATCTTATCTTCCATTGGAGCTACTCCAAACCTTTCATGTATGTGCAACAAACAGACGAGAAGTTCATCAAAAAAAAAAAGAACATAAACATATCACAAACCAAAAAGAGTAATACCTTCAGAGAATTTAAAAGGATTGAACCATTCCCCTATTGGACCAAGTCTACCTAAGTTGGAGACAAAAGCAAACTTACATGTAGGTAACGATCCCCAAAATAAGATCAAATTGAGGCCTAATGGTGTAGAAGTGGCTGAACTAGATACATGGATAGCGGCCTCACCAATGCTGCTATTTGAATCAATCTGCCATAAATGCCCTGTTTGTAGCCTCAGATCATGTCAACATGTGCTCCTTATTGTGAAATTCATTCACGAAGATTCAAACTTCTCTGAGCTGTAGTGCCTTTGAGATACCATCAAAATACTTACAACCCCAAATTAGATAAACTAAGTTGCACTGGAAAACCAGAAAACCAAAAAACAATGCTCAGAAATTGAGGTTAAAAAGACAACAACAATGACAAGCCTTTATCCCACAGTGGGTTCGGCTACAAGATGTTTTTCTCCCTTGTCTCCTATTAAAAGTTAAATTCTCATTTAAATATAATGAAAATATCATTTTTAATACTTTTTAATTAAGTCTTTTTAGGTCTACCTCTACCTTTCTTAACATAGGCTGAATTTAATACATCTACTATACTAACAGGGTTATCAGAACAATGATGTTTTATGTGACCAAATCATCTAAGGTGACTCTTTAATCGTATCTTCCACCATCATTGTTGGGTTCCAAACCCAGGATGAGAAAAGTGAAGGTTCCGTTAGGTACTTGACAACAAACATTAAACCTATAGAACAATCATGACATGAGATAAAGAAACTAATATAGGCCTCGTTTGATTCATGCGCTCTTTTTGCATAAGCTCGTCTAGACGGAGTAAGCGGAATTTTTTCCCTTTTCAGACCGGCGGAATTATGGAATAATAGGAAGATGTATTATAGAAAAGGCATGTAGACAAACAGTACTTACCTAAATGTTTTTGCGGTTTGAATTGGAAACGGCATAATAAAGCTGAAACAAACGAGGCCATAGTATATTTATGAAACCATAATTTTAGAAATAATCATAAGAAAAATAATGAAACTATTCTTAAAAAAGGTTTATATGAAAAAAAAAAAGTATTCATGATGAGAATAAAAAAGTATTCTCTGAACAAATCTTATTTTTTAATCAGAATAAAAGGAAAAAAAAAAAGCAAAGTGCTTAAACACAACGTAGTTGAATCTAAAGGTATCATAAAGGAAACATCATCATCATCCGAGAAACTTGAAATTGAAGAGAAATGTTTGGGCATGGGAAAGATCTAGGACAGTGAGAATCCTTCAATTGCTTTAGAAATCTAAACTATGGGCCTTCACTGGGCTCTGCATACCCCTACCCTCAGCAGTTGTGAGTCTCCACCATCCAATAACAAAAGTCCTTATCCTAGCACATATCAAATAAAAAAGCTAGTAAGTGACTAGTTGACACAGCTTACTACAAAGTGCCAAAACTACGCACCACATGTTATTTACATAAAAAACAAGCACTGCTGAAATTCAACAAGAAGCTAATTTCTCATCTAACAAATTACTTGAAAGGATACTACCGACGAAGGAGAATGGTTATAAAACCTGAGTTAAAGCTTACCCAAATACTGCCACAAGAGGAGTTGAGTATATCCAAATGGACCCAGTATCATGTAGAATGTAAATACTCATCCATCTCTCCAAGTCAAGTTTCCATGATAAACCTCTGAAATAATGTAAATTCTTGATCTTGTCAATGTTATATGCCAGGAGAACCCCTTTTGTTAGTCAAGGGAGACTTGAGCATTTCTTGGAACGAGATCTAAGGTATAACGACCAAGCCTTCCAGTTCGATAAAGATTAAGTAACTTCAAAGCAACAGCATTATCTCTGTTTTCTTCTGATTCATTTAAGATTCTTAAAGGTTCGCATAATGCAGTAAACGCAGCATCAATGAATCTCTCCATTTCTTCTTCTTTTTCTAGATGCAGCTTAGATGATGAGATGCACTTGAAAAGTGTTTGGCGTACATTTTTGACAATGAAATCCTGTACACATTTGATTATGTTTTAGACATAGCGATTTTGTGAAAGCTTGCTAATTTTTTAGATTTGGGGACTATCTTTTAAGTTTCTCATTTTAAACTCTCACTTAAATTTAACATCTGAAACAGACTATAGTAAGTGGGCATTCCACAAAGTTTATTTAGGGTAGTTCTTTTCTTTCATAGTTTGCTTTTCAGGCAATAGCCATAACTCTATATGGATATAACTATAGAGTGTGCTAGTTGTAAGAAAATAATTATCTGACTTTCTCAAAAGAGAATATAGCTTGGCTTTTTTACTGCTTCTTAAAGCAGCTTTTTAGTATAAAAATTTTATTTTATTTTTACTAGAAAGCTTTTTTAAGGAATAGTAAAAAAAAAAAAACTATCATAAACGAAGCCTAAATCTTTAATAGCCACATAATTAAAAAAAATATATATATATTTTTTCCCATCACATCTCTACAACTACTTTCACATAAAGCTATAGCCAATCTATACAGATCCAAAATTTAGAATCTTTTATTCTTAAAATTGTAAATTTTCAACTTGAAAGTTAAATAAAAGTGCCTTTAAAGCTGACCTGTGTATGATCTGAATCATACCGCCTTCTTCTCTTTTGGTCAGAACCAACAAGCTTTCCGGCTTGGGTGTCTGATGACAACATCTGATCACATGCACATTTCAGGCCCTCCCAGCGTTTATATACATCTGAAGAGCTGAGGACAGCTAATAAAAACCGAGCAAGATTACATTCACCTATCAGTGAATCCTTGATGGCACCTGAAACACAGGATAGATGAATGCATCAACTGAGTTAAATTTGCTGAGTAATATTAACAAAGTGTACGAAGCTATGATGCACAGACACGGACACGGTGACATGGACACATGACACACATCAATTATTGAAAATATAAGACACGGACAAGGGTTGGACACGACATTATAGTTTTTATATTTTAAAAATGTTGTATAAAAATTAAATAAGTATAATTTTAAAAATAATTTAGAAAAAATAAGTCATTTAAATATAATTTGTGCTTAAAATGATTAATATTATGATGTCGAGAGTCGGGCGTCGATGTCGTTTATCAGTCATCAAGAGAGGAGATGAAAATACCTTCACTGCTAAAGTGAAATGAAAATGAGAATATTCGATGAATAGGGTATTAAGTGTGGGCAATTGATTTGGTGTTATAGATAGGAAATAAGAAATTTAGTTTTTATATTTTAAATAAGTAAAAAAAATTAAATACAAAAAATTATATTTTAAAAAAATTCATAAAATATTAAAGATACGCATGTCTGTATTTAATATTTTTAATCGGACACATTTTCGGCGTGTCTGATACGTGTCAGACGCATGCCGTGTCGGACATTACATGCCTCTGTCAGTAGAAGTGTCGGCGCATCATAGGTACGAAGCAACAAACCTGTCAAGGCAAGCTTGGAACCAGAGTCAGCATCAGCAATTTCAGCAGACAGAACACCTGGCGTGTCAAATACATATATGTTGGGATGGCTGGCAATCTGGAGAAAAGCGGACAACCTGATTACCGAGGAGAATAATAGCAAAGTGTCACATGGGATAGTTCTTTTGAACAGTTGCTAAGCCTATTTCTATGATCAAACTCTTAGCACACTAGCATTTACAAATTTGCATGAAACTTTTTTTTGTCAAATATTTGTTTAGGGGAATACTTTTAATGGTAACCACAGTAACATATCAGGTACACAAGAATATATGGGAACATCAACAAGAAAATCATTAGCAAGCTAGGAGGCGGGAGAGACAATGAGTTGGGAGGATTATTATGATAGGAAAAACTTGAGTATTTCAAGTAAATTCTAATAGGAATAGAGAAAAACAGCAATAGAATCACAATAAATCTGGTGGAAAAACTCTCCAAATTGTAATTGGATTGCAAAAGAGAGAACTAACAAAAACAACGAAACAAATATACAATTGATCCTCAATTTGAGAGGAGGATCATTTCTCCCAATCTCTAGATGAGTCTAGAGCCCATGCACCAAGAAGAACCCTCACAATAACATAATAATCAAAACATAACCCTAACCCTAATTCTCCCTCCCATACTTAAGGCATACAATTAAAACAATAAGACAAAAAGACCTAAAGGCCCATGCCACCCCCTCCTTTGACTCCAAATTTGAATTTGAAATCAAGTGGATCCCACCCCATCTCTCTCCCTCTCCCCCTCCCTCTTGCCGCCGTCCCTCTTGTTGTAAACATAAACTAGCCCCTTAGATGGGGCCGGCTGAACCGGTCCACTAGGGGCTGGTCTAAACATATTAGTCATTAAATCGTTGCTAAGCCTATTTTCTTTTGTTAAACTGCATATAATTTTGACATTCCATTTATTAAAACGTGTTTATGGTTTTCTGCAAAATTTGTCCACAATAGCAGGATCATTGCGCTTTAATGTTTTAACTATTGGCCACAAAAAATACCAAGATGTTAGTACACCGACCAACGAAAAACAGTAGGAAAAAGATGAAGTAGCAACCAATATAGTGCAATATTACAATACTTCAATATTATTGAGAATAGTTTAAATAAAAGAGAAGAACCGGAATGAGTATAATACATGATTTTTTGAAATAATTCTTTGAGATCACATTTCCTGAATGGTGGAAATATAGAGAAACAGCATTAATACCTGCTGAAATGTTACTTTCACCAAATTCAATCATATCGAATCTGGCACATACTGAAATTAACTCCTTAACAGTATCAGAGTTGAATCATATTTTGCACTTACTGAAATCAACTCTTTTACAGTATCAGAATAAAAAGAGAACTAATGAGTTCCAATAATGGCATCTAAAGTATTGAGATTGCTGTAAAAACTTAGCGATGCTGTAGATGGGATAAATGACAGAAGCTAAAAGCCTCGTACCTTATAACTACTAATGTCTCTAGTCTCTCCAGGCTGTGGACTCACCACTGCGTGCTTCAATTTTCCTTTCTCTTCAAAACAGAAGCCATCAAAAGAGTTACCATCTAACTAAAAGAAGAATATGGCTTAAAAATATAATATAAGTTTTTCCCAGTTATAAAGATCGAGAGATACCCCATTTATTTAAGCCTGTCATGAAATAGAGCAAGATTGACCGATACCTGCTGCATCTATCCTGCCAATGAGATGCATAGAATTGGCAATGGCTGATTTTCCCACATTTGGAATCCCGACCAATAATACTGTTGCAGTTGCAGTATCCTTTATATCATCAACTTTCAAGTCCTTAGTTCTTTTCTTTACAACATTTAACAGCTGCATTAAACAAGCACATAATTAAGACATCCCGGCATTCTTTTAATTATGGAGAACCTATTATACATTGAAGAAATCAGTTCAATTTGGTTCTATCTTTCCAAATTAGAACAAGATTCAAAATGGAAAACATGAGAGTTTAACAAGGCGTACTTCATCTTTAACAATCTGCTCATAAAACTTTAGCTGCTAGAAAATAAAAAAAATTGTTTTTACCTGCTTGATACTATCATTGTTGTGGGAATTCACTCCAAGACAGATATGATTCTGCTTCTGAAAATGCATGGTCCACTCCTATAGATTATACACCCATACAAGAATTAAGATAACGATATTTGACATGATCCACTCCTATTTGCAAAGTTTTAGACGGTTTGGTCACATAAAACGACGGCCTTCCGATGACCCGGTTAGAAAAGTAGAGGTATTAGATTTGACTTATATTAAGAAAGGTAGAGGTAGACCTAAAAAGACTTCGTTAGAAAATATTAGAAATGATCTTTCTTTATTAGATTTAAATGAGAAATTGACTTTTAACATGACACAATACAGAAAAAGGATTCATGTAGTTGAGCTCATGTAGTGAGACTAAGGCTTGATTTTGTTGTTGTTGTTGTATATTTGACATGGGCAAACTTTGCAAATGTAAGAGATGCACTTGCAAATCGCATGGTCATGATGCATGTCACTTTCTACCAACCTCAGCTAAAAGCATGGCAAGAACTATTCCAATCTTATAATGCGAACTTTAAAATTGTAGATAAACATTAAATTAGCGGATCATAATTATAACCCAAAATAATAAGTATACCTCTGTACGAGAGCAATCTGCTAGATCCATCTTGTTTAGAATAATCATATGCTTACTGGAATGTATATCATGCCTAGCTGATTCAAAAGCAGATGCAATGGGGATCTGCACATAAGTTACATATTAATTACATGTATAAACATCAAAGCAAAAATGAGAAGACCAAAAGCCAGCCAAAAATGTGTAAGTTGAAAGAACTAAACATGAAGAACTATTTTGTCAGATAGTTGCTAAACATAAAAAAGCTAGGACGCATCTTCGGGAAGACAATCAACATCACAATTACTTCAATGGAGCGAAGAGAACTTTATCTGATAGTAAAAAAAAAAAAGAGGAATGTATTGTAGTCTTCCTCAAGGTCATTAATTTCGAGTGTTAGCTGCCAATTTTGACCATATTCTCTCTTTTTGACTGCGAGGTGGTTTCATTTAGGTGAATTTGATGCCCCGATCGTAATAGAGCAGTCTGTTTGGCGATCGGGGGTCGTTTGACCCTTTAAGTGACGTATCGCGCCCGCCGGCCATCACTTGGATCGTCATTTCTGTCCCTTTTCGCATGTTTTCAGTGTGTGGGTTAACAATTATATTTTGAGTCGAGTGCCCTCACTTCTACAATTTTTTATATGTAAAACATTCTAGGGTCCTAAACTCACTATAAACTACCTTTGCAAGAGTTGCATTTTCCTCCTATTAGAGAATCAATGGCAATACATGCCCTGAGTTGGTGACCAAGCATCGTTGTGATGAAGCACAAAATATAGCCAAGATTATCTTGTGCCTTTGTAGCATATCTAATAGCTAATGAAATCTTAATCTGTGAAACATAAGTACATCAACTTTTTGTAGGAAGATCAATCTAAAGTTGTTCCCTGATTGAGATCATCAACTTTGATTTATCAATGCATGAAAGGAAAAGGACAAATACAACCCTTCCACCCATTATGATATCCTAATCGACTACACTAATATCTTCTCAAGCATCATTACTACTATAGTGAACAATTATTTCCATGTTAGCATCCAAAACCACAATTTTTATTGTGCTACAAATAAATTTTAAAAATATATTGTGCCAATAGAGTAAACCTCATGTTTTGAAAGTTCTCAATAACCAGTGGACAAATTATCACTGATTAAAACCAAAACATCATAAACATCCTCCATTTTAGCAATTAACTTTCTTTAACACTCTTGTGATAGCATTCATCAAACTTTCATTCTTTTGAAAGCACCAAATAAAGGACCATGACCTGAAACTGTAGCATTCAACTATCGTCCAACATTACAAAAAAGGTTTCATAGGCGCCCAACTTAAGCTTCGTTTGTGAAAGCTTTCTTATTGTTTTCTAAAACAATTTTTTAGTTAAAAAATTTTTAGAACTAACCATTTTTGTATTAGAAAGCTACTTTAAAAAGCAATAAGAAATCTGTCCCAAACGAAACCTTAATCAAACAGATTTCTATGCAACTTCCTAACCAAGATATGGCATTAAAAGGTTATTCTAGGTAATTCAAAAAGTATTTTTTCTGCCCCTAGAGATTGAAAATAACCATTATTTGAATTGCAAGATGAATATAACATATGTTAAGCTGTTGAGCGTTTAGTTTACTATAAAATTTCATATTTACATCACACCAAGCCATATTTCTAAATGCAACCCAATCAACAAAATTACTTTCTAGAGAAGCATCTACAACACTAATGGCCAAGCCGCCCGTCAGTGAAAGCACAATTGAAATTGTTTAAACCTTAGCAATAGATCTTTATAGCCTCTTGTGCGATCAGAGAAAAAAAAATAAAAGAGCCCAAAGACAACAAACCGCAATCAAATGCTAGTATATTGACCACTAAATACTTCTGAAAGCAAATGAAAAATAATTCTTCATCGTTTTCAAAATAAATCATCTATTTCAAATGAAGAAGAACAAATGGTTTCAGACGTTCAGGAATTTCATCAAATGCCTTGTAAGCAATGATTAAGGCTTCTAGCAGCAATGAACAAACAACTCAAAACAATCATTCAACAACGGAGTCAGGAAAAAAATGATGCAGATAGCCAGATAAATCTACGAGGGGAGAGATCATACCCTCGCATCTCGCACCTCTACAACGAGATCAACCATAGAGATCCTCTCCCGGATCGCACGATCAGCAGCAGCCATATGCGGCCCGTACCAGCCCCCGAATCCTTGCTTTTGCCCAATCTCCTTCACTACTGAGCCCAGGCGCTTCGAGAAGGAACTGATCACTGTCATTGGTGGGAATATAGGAGATTAAAATAAGAGCTTGAAGCTCTTCCGGAGATTTTGGAAAGCTGGAACGCCAAAGTGGAGGGGCAAATTTTTAAACTAAGGCTAAGGCTTTTTTTTTTTTTTTTTTTTTATTGGTGGGAATATAGGAGATTAAAATAAGAGCTTGAAGCTCTTCCGGAGATTTTGGAAAGCTGGAACGCCAAAGTGGAGGGGCAAATTTTTAAACTAAGGCTAAGGCTTTTTTTTTTTTTTTTTTTTTAATTTTTCTATTAAATATGATAAATATTTATTTTTTCAAAAGTGCAGACAAAGCTGCTATCAGATCCTAAGTAACCTTGTGGGATCTTAATTACATATCAAATACTTGAAATTTATGCATACTAATTGTGTTGTAGGCAAGCTACTATGATTTTTTTTATTTGAAACAACAACAGCAAACTGAACATTATTCATGATGGGCCACCCCTGTATGACAAATTGAAGATCAGATTTACTTCTATAGCACATACCTTCAAACAAGTAGATTGTAATAAAAAAACTCATCGTTTTACACTTACTAAATAACATAAAAATATAAATTTAATTTAAGTCGCTCATTGCACGAACAACTTATATTGATTATTATTTTTTAAAAAAACTAAACTTTATATTAATTTATAGCTATTAAACTGACTTAATAATGGTGTTTTTGTATTTGTATTTATGCTTCTATAATGAAGAGAAGATTTTATATATTTTTAATAATAGTGCATTACCAATTTATTGTCAAATCAGCTTAACATACTAGCATATTGACATTCGTGCGGAGTTGTAGAGTGAGAGTGATGGGTTATCGTGCTTAGGGAAAGCAAGATTGGATACTGAGGTTGTTGTTAGGCTTTTTTGTGGATACCTTTAGTGGATGTTGTTGAGAGGGAAATTTGAGGTGATTTGCATAGTTGAACTTCAACTATTTAAGGGGGGTTGTTATAGCATTGGAGGTGGACGTTGAGTGTAGTTTCTCTAGTAGCTAGTTTATTTTTTTGAAGTAGCTATCAGCTTTACCTTACCTTATATTCTACACAATGTATTGGCTGGATAATGAGAAGCCTCGTGGTTTAGCAGATGAATGCATGAGTGTATGTCAAGGTGTTCTGACAAATTGCTTAAGCAACAAGTTAGGGCTAATAAGATATTCAGATGTTACATGCATGTATGTACGGAAGAGATGGATCATATACTCTGATATTTGCATATGAAGGTAGACAACAAAAGAATTTAATGTGTACATTCTAAAAATGAATATTATATCAATAACCTGTGAGAGGACATTTTATTTTCTAACCATAAGTATCTACATATGTTACTAAGTTCCTCTTTAGATTCATGAAGCTGTGTGTAAAAGGTACAATCCAAATATAGGATCGTGACAAACCTAATGTTCTCTATCAGGAATTACGTGAAATTGATCTGAGTATGTTTGTCTGAAGTTCCCCAAAGTATACTACTCTATGGCATACAGAAGATGAATTTACCTAAGTGTGGCAACACAACCAATCACATGTGAACAAGACATATGATAAATATTTATTTTTTCAAAAGTGCAGACAAAGCTGCTATCAGATCCTAAGTCAACCTTGTGGGATCTTAATTACATATCAAATACTTGAAATTTATGCATACTAATTGTGTTGTAGTCAAGCTACTATGATTTTTTTTATTTGAAACAACAACAGCAAACTGAACATTATTCATGATGGGCCACCCCTGTATGACAAATTGAAGATCAGATTTACTTCTATAGCACATACCTTCAAACAAGTAGATTGTAATAAAAAAACTCATCGTTTTACACTTACTAAATAACATAAAGAGATATTTTCCTAAAAAGTGCAACTAACAAATTCTTAATAAACATTTTAAAAATAAGAACTTACTAAATTATTAACTTAAATTAAAAAAAAAAACAGTCTAATTTTACAAATTTTAATAGATTTTTAATAAAGTTTAACTGAACTGTATAATTTTACTAAATTTATGACACATGGATATTGAAAAAACCGGCACAAATTGCAACCAATATTATACACAAATTTGAAAAACTTAATCATTATTCTACACAAATTATTTTACACAAATTATCCTACGCAAATTATTTTACACAAATTATCAACCCTCAAATCATCCACAAAATTTTATTTAACACAAATTATTAAATAAAAATTTAATTTTAACTTTTATAAAGCTTCATTTGTTATGACTTTCTTATTGCTTCTTAAAGCAGCTTTCTAATATAAATTTTTTAATTTTTTACTAAAAAGATGCTTTAAGAAATAGTAAGAAAGCTGTCTCGCACGAAGCCTAAATCAGTGAAATGTTACAAATCTTCCTCATAACTTATTCTAAACATTTTTATATACACCTAAATCATTCCACCAACAAATCATCTCACAAAAAAATTTCTTACAATTAATTCTACACAAATTTGTTTTTAACCATTTTAAATTAAGTAAATGTGACAGATCTTCCTTAAAAAAAAATTATAATGTTGATGATTTTGCCAAAACTAATTCATCTCTTAAATCCCTACTCCAACTTCTACAGATCTTGATTAATGAAAGAAAAAGCAAGCCAACATTACCGTTTAAACGAACAAAGTACACAAATACAAATAATAGAATGTTAAAATAACTTTCAAAACGTAATACATGCTAAGGCTTCGTTTGGGACGGCTTTCTTACTGCTTCTTAAAGCAAGATAAAAAATTTTAATTTTTATATTTAAAAGCTACTTAAGAAGCAATAAGAAAGCCATCCCAAACACAGCTTAAATATGTTGGTCTTACACAACACAAAAGCTCCCACCATCAAATATTTCAAGAAGTACTGTAATATATATATAATCTAATACGTGCTTACTATGTCTCTCGAGCAGCCGAAGGAGAACTCGAGTGGAGATGGGAAGCGGAGGAAAGGGAACGACATATTCCAGCAAGAATCGCTGGAGCTCCAATAAACAAGAAAAGAGAAAGGACGGAGAAAACAGAGAGAAGTGTTATTGATTTTCTTGATTACTCACCTGGTACATACAATATATATAAATAGAGCCTAATGGAAAAGCCACACAGTCGGCTACACAAGAAAGCTATACAGTATGATGTTACATTGTTTTATTTTTGTGCTCTAATATACCCCTGCAAACTGAAGGGTCTTGAGTGTCTGTCAGTTTGAGTCGGAGCTGAGGAAACCTTGGAGTGGAGAGGAATTTGATGAGGATATCGGCGACCTGATCAATTGTGCTAATGGGAAGTAGTCTGATGTGTTGTTGTTGAATGTGGTCGCGAATAAACCGGTGATCGATTTCAATGTGTTTCGTTCTAGCATGAAACACGGGATTGTTCGCCAATGATATGGTGGAAGTATTGTCACAGTACAAATCTTTCGGTTTTTCTTGTGTAATCCCAAAGTCAGTGAGAATGCGACGAAGCCAGATGATGTCCGCCGTAAGAGCAGCTAGGGCTCTGTACTTTGATTCCGTAGATGACCGAGCTACAATAGTTTGTTTTTGACAGTCCATGATATGAGTGTGTTCCCCAGGAGTGAGCAATATCCGGAGGTTGATCTTCGAGAAATAGAATATCTTGCCTAGTCGACATCTGAAAAGGATGTAAGACACATATCAAATTTTGTAATTGGTATCTCATAGTCGATCGTACCTTTGATGTAGTGCAGATGTGGCGACTTAAGGTTACCCCTGAGGTATAATAGAAGTAGAATTTTCCGGTGCAAGAGAAGATGTTCTTGGTTGCACATGTTGTTCGCTAGAGGTTCTGGCATTACCTGCATACGAATTTAATTCCTGGACCACCGATGTTGGTGTAAGAAATAAGGGAGATAACTGCTCAGAAACATGATTAGTAACTGGAGTGAAATTTGTAGACGGAAAACATGCAGTTTTCATCAAACGTAACATGGCAAGAGAAATTATTTTATTTGTGGTGAGGTTTATGCATTTGTATCCTTTATATGTGTTCGAGTATTCCAAAAATACACATAAAGGTGCTTTTGGTTTGGTTGAAGTTTGTTACGGAGAGGAGCAAGAGTGAGAGGAAAGCAGGCCCAGCCGAACGTGCATTAATGGTTGTATTCCGGATGGATGCCGTGTAGGAGTTCATACAGATGTTAGAGCAGCGTATGGCCAATATGTGTATGGAACCGAGGCAGTGTAGAAGAGGTTCCTAGTTGTTTCAAGAATATGCTGATGTTTCTGTTCTGCCACGCCGTTTTGTTCTGGCATGTATGGACACACGAGCTGATGAGCCGTGATGTTGAAGAAACTGAACAAATGAGGTGCTTAAGTATTCGCCTCCTCCATCGATACGAATGCATTTAATTTTGTGAGACGTGGATTTTCAATGTAGGATTTAAAGGTAATAAAATGAGTAAGTACTTCTGATTTGTGCCTCATAGGAAACAACCACGTAAATCTAGTGTAGTCATCTACGAATATAACATAATAGAGAAATACATTATTAGATTACGTGGGAGCTGGAGCCCACACGTCAGAATGAATTAAACACATAATTGATTGTGCTCTATTTTGTGATGGTTCAAACACAAGTTTATGGTTCTTAGTCTTATTGCAAGAATGACAGATTATAGTTTGAGTGTCTATATGCAAATCAGAATTACACAATGAAATGTGATATAAAGTTCTTAGACTGGGATGACCCAGTTTGTTATGCCAGGGACTAGTTCGGTTGCTGGAAGCTTGAAAGACGTGCTACTTGGATGAGGCAGCAGGCGTTCGAATGGGGTAAAGACCGTCACGGCAGGGTCCTTGAAAAATTACTTGATGAGTCGTCAGATCCTTAAACACAAAACCATAAGGATTAAATATGATAGCAATATTGTTATCTTTGGTGAATTGAGAGATAGATAATAAATGGTAATGAAGATATGGAGTATGAAATATGTGAGAGAGATTTAGCTTACGAGAGGGAGTCGGTAGCAATCCCTTGTAGGAGTTGGCAATGCTAACCGAACTCCCGTCGCCAATAGTAATACCATCCGATCCGGTGTAAGGAGACGAGATGGAAAGATTGTCCATAGATTTTGTCAAATGG